TTGACAAGTTTGCGAGACTGCGGGACACGAGTGCACCGAAGGGTCCGTTTGTCTTACACGACGGCCCGCCCTATGCCAACGGTTCCCTCCATTTCGGTCACGCCATCAATAAAGTGGTTATTTTGGTGACGAGTTTCCCAAATATTTAGTTGTTTTTTATCCTTTAGTTCCTCAAAGACATGATATGTCGGCGAAAGTTATTGGAAGGCTTTGAGGTGTCGTACCTCCCGGGCTGGGACTGTCACGGACTGCCCATTGAACTGAAAGCCGTCTCCAAAGACGCGCAGATAACAGACGCCATTGAGATACGAAAGAAAGCCAAACAATTGGCACTTAATGTGATCGATGAGCATAAGACTTGTTTCAGAAATTGGCAAATACTAGGCGATTGGGACCACCCTTATCTCACTTTTCATTCAAATTATATAACCAATCAATTGAAGGCATTCCACACTCTGTTAGAAAGTGGTCTTGTCTTCCGCTCCCATTCGCCGGTCTATTGGACTCCTTCTGGACGGACGGCTTTGGCCGAAGCAGAGCTTCAATACAATGACAAACACGTCTCGCAATCAGTTTTTGTCAAATTCAACATCACATCAGTTCCGGACATTCTTCACAAATATAGTGATATATCGGCTCTCATTTGGACGACCACTCCCTGGACTTTACCCGCAAATCAAGCCATTGCTTACTCACCAAATATAGACTATTGTGTGGTTATTATCAATCAATTATGTGATGAAAATCTTTTAGTGGCAAAGGATTTGATTCCTTCTTTGGAAGAAGAATTTAAGTCTAAAATTGTGATCAAAGAAGTGATTAATGGATCAAATTTGAAGGGAATTACATATAAGAATCCCATTTCATTAAATGACGAAATTCTACCATTTCTTGAGAGTCAATACGTGACCACAACTAAAGGGACCGGTTTAGTGCATACGGCACCCAACCATGGAGTGGATGACTATAAACTAATCACCAAAAATAATATTCCATTGAAAGAGTGTATTGTCGATGAGAAGGGCTGTTTTGTCTCCACTTCTAATCCATTATTAGATAATAAGTTTGTTCTGAGCGAAGGAAATGATATGATAATCAACT